CAAATTTTATTGCTAATTTCTAACAAAATTTGCTACAGAAACAAATTCTGTCATTAATTTTTTTTATGGATTAGCGACAGAATTTCTATCCGTCGTTAAATTCCGCAGCTAATCCGTCGAAAAATCCGTCAATAAATATTTAGCGATGGAATTTTTCCGTCAGAAATTTCTGTTGCTAAATTGTTTATCACATAAGTTTTTGTCACTAATTCTGTCGCTAATTCTATTCTGTCATAATTTCGTCGCTAATCAATCACTAATTTTAAATTTTATTATTTTAAATTATAATCTTACAAAAATTTATATAATAACAATTAAGAATATGATGATTTAAAAACATTTATAATTATAAAATAAATTGATATATTTGTAGAGTTGGTGTTAATGAAGATATTGTTATCATTCATATCATCATTATGTATATATTAAAAATAAAAAGACAATTTTTTAGAAAACTTGTTTATATTTTTTTAAAATAAATTCCTCTTGATTATTAATAATAATTAAAAAAATATAAGAAGAACATTAATAACTTTCTTATACAAACTAATATAAGAAAGAAATAATTTTATCATTTGTACAACATATTGAAATATATAATATATGATAGAAATTCAAAAACAAAAAATAAATTTATATGAACGCAAACTAATATTAAAGTGAATTTTGAATTTCAATCATTATATAATAAAATTTAATTATAATATAATTAATACCTATGATATAGATTGATTTTGGTCTTCAATACAAAAACAAATGGTATATATAAAGAATTTTAAGAAAATAAATTACATAGGATATATATACAAGTAAGAGAATACTGATTATCATAATCTATTCAAATCATTTAATTTTTTTATATAGAATAATTTATTAGATTTTATTATAGTAGTTATTTTTTGAATAACAAGATTTTTTGACTAATTGTAAATGATTTTTTTCAAATATATAAAACACATTAGATAATATAATATAATGTAACATCAGATAATATAACATAACATAATATAATACATATATAATTAAATTGTATATCTTATCAATGTTAATTAAAAACAATTTAAAAAATATTTATTAAAAAATTATTTATGATTTAAAATTCAAAATTAGTGTCGTTAGAAATTAAAATTATATTAAAAATATTTTTTTAAAAAATAAAATATTATAAAACAAATATTTAAAAATTGTTTTTTCATTAAAATAGTTATGATTAAAATTATCATATAGTATATTTTTACTTTTTAATAATACATATGTGCATAAAATTATTTGTGTAAAATAATATTATATATATTTAATTTTACATGGTAAATCAACAGGTTCATTGCAGCTCAACTAGTAAAGCTGCACGTGCGCACATGACGCATGGCATTTAAATTTTTTTTTCCAAAAATTAGGTTAGCGACAGAAATTTTTGTCAAGAATTAACAATGGATTAGTGACAGAAAATTTCCGTCAGTAATTAGCGACAGAATTTTCATCACTAATACGTGGCTAATTAGTGACGGAATTTCTATTCCGTTGCTAATCCATCACAAATTCCATCACTAAATAAAAAATTTTGTTGCTAAATTCGGTCATTAAAAGCATTTTTTTTGCAGTGGTTAACAATATTTTAAAACATGTTAATCAATTTTGATTAAAATGAGTTTTCATTAATTAAAATATTGAATCCAAGTGATCACTTGGGAGTTTTATCAGACTTAGAGATTTTCAAAACTCCTAATCAATTTAAGAGCAATGATAGCTAAGTTTTCATCATCAAGAGTCTATCCTATCATACTTTCCCTTTAATCCAAAGCATACATTCGTTTATTTAAAAGATAAAAAAGATTTACTTCTTTACATAAAGTGAAAACATTAGGGATTTGAGAACTCAACTCCTCCCTCCTCCTATAATAATAATAATAATTAATAATAAACAAATAAAAAGTGTTAAAATGTAAACCATTCAAAATTATGATGAAAATGTATTTTGTAGTTTTTATTTTTTATTGTTTAATATTGTAATAATAATTTTGTGAGAGTCTCTATAATTTTTTTTTCTATACATCATCCCAATTTAAAAAATTGTTATATCAATTTTGTATACCAAACTAACATACTCTCACAATTAAATACGATATTTTTCAATAAACTCTCAAATTCAAAAATTCTACTTTCTTACAAAAAGATGACCTTATCTATAGTAAAAAAAGTCTCCATCTAATAAACAAACTTCCCTTAGAGACATAGAACATCACTATATAATTATTATCTCTTGGACCAAACCCAAAATCCAAAAAGCAATTAACTTCATTTCTTAGAACTATTGGTTGAACTTTTCTAATTTTGTATTGCGTACTAAGAAAGAAGATACATGTAACCTATCATTACCACCGTTAGTAGAACCAACAATGCAAGCTCTCATTGAAGGATTTATTAACGGGATTTGAAATATATCGAGTTGATTGTGGTCACTAAATATAGATAAATATATTTGGTAGCAACATTTTGGAGGAGGAGAACAGGATTTTGTTGACTCCATTTGAATTGTTTTTGAATCAAATTTAAACCCTAGATGACACATATTCATCTTTGCACACATATTACAATTATATTAACAATTTGATTGATATTTTTTTTAAAATCTCAATTAACATATAATCAGAAAGATCAATTAAGATATTGTCAAGTAAAAATGATATAATACTTGTTAAAAAAAGTATAAAATTGTAACATTGTCACTATCATTAAGAATTTTTATTGTGTTTTAATATTATTTATTAAACTAATTTTTTGAATTTAATAAAGTAAATTTTATAAAGAATAGAGCAATTGAAACGTAGTTGGAGGTAGAATTAAAGAATTTAGAGGGTATTAGATTGTATTATGATGTTGTAATTATCCATACTTATTAGAGCTCTGATTATGTTCTGATACCACTTATTAAATTTCGATACCATTTTTTAAAATTGAAAAAAAAACTTATGTTTTTAAAAAATAAAATCATTAAGTTATATTAATATTGGATCATCTTTGCCTATCATTTTCATGAGAAAAGTATATATTAAAGGCTTTTAATGAGACTAAATTATACAATGTAGCAATGAGTTTAATAAAAAATGTTATCTTGTAATAAAAACATTAAAAATTGTAGGAAATGATAAAAATATGTAGAAATTTTTTGAACATTTCTTCTAAATATTTGATTATTTTGCTGGAATTTTTTATGAGTTGAGTAGAGATGCATAACATTGATGCTCATGTCTTTTTTTTTTTTATAATTACAAGAATTAAATTTTTAACTCACTGTCAAATAAAAAATTTCAAAATTTTTGTTTTACAATATACAATTGTAGTGAATGACTAAAACTACTAATATTTATTATGCAGTAAGTTTATTAATTAGCAGCAATTCAGTATTTTTTTTTAAAATTCATATTTTGATATTTAGTTATTTTAAATAATTGCAAAGCATTACACTTTTTAAAATCTTTTTTGAAGAAATTTTCATGAAAAGCGAGAATTTTAAAAAAATTTTAAAGCAAATTTTCTGTTAAAAAATGTCATTAGAATTTAGAAGAATCAGAAATTAAAATTTTTTCCCAGGAAAAATTGGAATTTTATACCAACTATATTTGTACAACAATTCATTTTTTTTATTTCAATTTGAGAAAGCATGCGAAACTGTGAATGGAAATCAAAACTTCTATTTTTATGAGGAAAAAAACAAAGAACAGAAAATATTATCATCGTCTCAGCTCATATAGCTGTTTTTTCTGTACATATAATTAATTATATTTTTTACTTCAAAAATCACAAAAATTTCATGGGTTGTTTGACACAGTTAATATATTTTATTTCTTAGTCAGCTTTTGACTATATATTTGGGCCTTTAAAAATTGAAAAATGTAATAAAACGGTAATTTAAATAAAATATGTATATAATAAATATGAGTCGAAAGATGAAGACCACAATACTCTCAACTAAATTTTTCTTCAGATTTCATTTAAGATCATGAAAAAATATGTCTGGCTGGAATAATGATAAAGAAGTTTAATTTCTTGCTTTTTTTAAAAAATTCTATACATATATACTACCTTTAGTTCTAAATATAAGAAATAATTGGAGATTAAATTTACTCATCAATATATTACCTCAACCAACAAATTTCTAATTTTTTTTCAGAATATTTTTATTGATTGTAAATGGTTTGTACCAAGAGATAATTCCAAGATACATGATTAGATAAAAATAATTTAGAAAAATTAATGCATATTTATTGTAAATAACCAATTTAATTAATTTTTTAAGCTCTCCATATTAGTCATTTAGCTAAACTGGAGGTAGTACTTCGTTTCAGTTTCACCAGCGAGAGAGGGGATGTTTAGTAGCCACCAAGAGGTATAAAAATAAAAGTTGAAAATGTTGTGAAAGACAATAGTGAACAAGTCGGGGAATATCGGTGGGGAAAAAACATCAAAAGAGCTTAGCAAAATAAATATGCAACATAATAATTTAAAATCTAGGCTCTTCAATTTGAATGTTGTGAATCAAGACAAAGCTTTCTGCATAATTTAAAACACAACCAATGCTGCGTCTGCATATAGTTAACATCTTAATTTCACTAGTAGAGAGATCGGACAAAGATACGACAGTTTCATGTTCAGGGGTGCAAGTCTCCAATAATCCATGGTACAGTGGCAATATCTATTGATCTTTGAAACAAAATTGAATAATCTGCAAACATTCTAGCCAGGTTTAATAGAGTTAAATACCCATGCCAAACGGAATTTGAAATAATCATGGTTCTGCAACAGCAGCAAAGGGAGGAAAAACAAGAAAGAAAGACCATATTTTCTGGACTTCAGGTTCTTTTAAAATTTCATTTCATGTGGGTACGCCATAAGTTTATTGATTTTAACCTTATCTTTCAACTAATATTGCATTAGTGTTCCTGCGACATGTGACCATGATTAGAATAACATAAGATAATAGAGGCACTGGAGGTTGAACTTCACACGAAGCTACTAATACTGTTCTCATCCACCATTGACCAAAAGAGCACATAACTCGGTGTAAGGTGGAAAACTGTTTACACAAAACAGAGAAATGAAATGAAAATGCAAGAATTTCAAATTCAAATATGTGTGTGTGTGTGTGTGTGTGTGTGTGTGTGTGTGTGTAAGAGGAAACAGAACAATCACATATCATAGATGGGTCAAATAAAGTCAGAAACATTTGATGATTCTCAATAACATAAACAACGACAAGAATCACAGGTACAGTTATACACTACAAACTAACATAGGTTCATTTCTACCAAAAGCGTTCAAACTAAGTAAATATGCAATATAATACTCAGGACTTAAGGTGAAGGCTCTTCAATGTGGTTGCTGTTCAATGGTACAAGGCTTTCACAAAAATTGAAAATACCATGAAAACATTTGCCGATATTAGCCATCCTATATCCAACAGAAGTAAGATCGAACACATATAGAATATTTGTTAGCTCACCAGTCTCAGCTTCAAGTCTAGGCATTACAACGTCATGGCAGACTACTTCGTTCCTCCAAATGGTCACTGGCCTTAGCAAGCGTGGAAAAGGACCTATACTATGTGTCTTAGTCCACTTCCATTTTTCCCTTGATATGCCACTTGTAAACTCTTCCATCACCCACAACTCAATGAAATAAGCTGAAGAGAGAAAAAGCAGAGCGAGTTTGTTTTCAAATATACTAAGCGTAGAAAGCAAACTAATGAATAAAAGAGGCTTTGCTATCAATGCAAACACTTCTGTTGCTACATCAAATGAAAGTATCATGTGAGATGTCCCAAGCCAATACATAACTCCATTGGCAGTGACAGCTTCTCCGCTATGAGTAACGCTCACGCCCTGTAAATTTTCAAATTCAACTTCCTTCCATGACCCCGAACCTAGTGAATACACTTCCACCCCATTAACATTCCGAGACTTGTTAACGTGAGCTTTCACAATTTTGTAATCGTTAACAATTGGACTGAACCCAAATCCACAGATGCAATCACACTGAAAACTGTTAATAGATCTGGGCACCTGCCTGATCTCTCTGGTCGCAAGATTCCACAGTAAAAGTGAAGGAGGAGAACTAACATCATCAACAATTTTGAAACAGAGCAGGCCATTGCTTGAATCAATGATCTTAACCCCATCGGCGGCCACAGGTGCCTTTATACGTTTAAAGATTCGAATGCCGCAATGGCTCAAATATAATGGCAAGGGATTATCATTGCCATACGTCGGCCATAGAAGAACAGTTCTTTGATTACTGGAGTGCCGGAGGTGGGCTTCGATAAAAGAAGGGCTTTTGATGAGATTTTTCCAACGCTTGCACACACATCGAAATCGTAAAATGCATCTTACATTAAGTCGTTTGAGAATGTTGGCGGTGATATCATCGCAAAGAAATGGATTGTCGCCATCCATCACTGCGAAGAAGGAACGATCAATCACATAGAAAAGCCCCGGCAAGCGACCATTAGGGCTTTCGGGATTCCATCCATTATATTTATAATACCTCGCTACTAGAAGCTTGTGCTCAATGTAAATATATATATAAATATAGAAATCCAGTTCACTTTATTTTTTAATAAGTATTTTATTTAAAAATTCTAACATATATATATTATTAATAAAATTATTTTAGAAAAAATAACACTTGTTTATAACAAAATTTTCTAATTTATTTAAATTAGTCAATTAGTTCTTATATCAAACATTAAGAGTTTATTTGGCTTAGAACCTGTTTGATTAAGTGGTGGGATCTCAAATAAGCCCGTTTAAATTCAAATAAGTGCTTATAAAGCATGGTTAGGGTGTTTGGATAATTTTTATAGAATCCCGATGAATCGTGATTTTAACCTCCCACCGCACTTTTAGGATAAGCAACAAAAGATAGCTTATGCGTTTGAAAAATCCCGATGAATCTTCAGTAACTAAATTTTCTCCAATCTACCCCTCATTCTAATGGTAATTATTTTAATTTTTTTTAAAAAAAACATACAATATGAAACTGTTTTTCTTTTAAATTTTATTTCTTAGTTATAATTTTGATTGAAGATTCAATTTCCTTATCTATGTTACTGAAATTGCTAATCAAATTTTTTTTTATATTTTTGTTCATCTTTTATTTATATGGGGTCTTTTATTTAATATTTGTACTACACATAAATTTTGTAAGTGATTTTAAATAAAAATAATATTTAAATATTCATGTCATTTATTAAATTATATTTAATAAATTTTATTATTAAATATAATAATTATGAAAATGTAAACAACTTTATTAACTTCATGTCCTTTTTAGTAATTATACACCCATAAGTGATTTTAATAAATAAAAACCAAACATAATCACAATTCTTAAAATCACTTATAAAAAAAAATATCCAAAACGAAATCACGATTAACCAGTATCACTTATAGCCAGTATCACTTATAAAATTCACGATTATCTAAAATCACAGTTGTTCACCGCTAATCCAAACGAGCACTTAATAAGAGGAAGAGAACGGACGGGATTTTAATGGAGTGGAGGGGAGGAGAGTAGAAGTATTTTAATATTACCTTGTTTTGATTTATAAAAAAAGAGGGGAGGGGAGGAGTTTTAATATTATCTTGTTTGGTTCATGAGGGGAGGGGAGGAAAAGATATTTTAACATGAACAATTTTACTCTTATTTTATTTAAGATATGGTTATAACGGTCACAAAATGACAAAATATGAGTATAATGGTTACAATATGACAAAATATTACACTTTCCCTTCAAATCCTCCCAATTTTGGAGGGAAGGTTGAGAAAGGGAGGAGAGGGAATTTTGTTAAAATTTTCCTTCTCCTCTTAAAATTTATGTGTTGTCAAATAAAAAATAATAATTAAAATCCTTCCCCTTCCGCTCCCCCCCCTCCCCTCATACGAAACACACCCTAATGATAGTATATAGATATAAATATTTCCAAATTCCAGCGCCTGCGCTGCCGTTTTCAATTACTAACAGTAACGGGCTCTGTTCTAATTTAAAAGAGTAGTTAAGAGAAAAGTCTTAAAATGTCTATACATATCATAAAATCTCAAATAGTGGATTTTTTTTCAGATCTAAACTCCAAAGTAACATTAATTACTGTTCTTAAATAATAAATTAATTTTTATTATTTTTTAAAAGTCAAGACAATGTTAATTATTAATTATTAAAATTAATTAAGAGTATATTGTAAAATTTGAAATAAATTCTAACATGTATAAAACCTTGGGGGGAAAAAAGGAAGAAGATGGGGTTGGGAATAGAGAAAATTAGATATCATAAAATACACCGAGTCAATATATAGTGACATGATCGAATTACCTAACCACCTAATAGTGTCAATAACTGGGACGTCTACTAAACAGAGCGCTTATTAGCCAGTGTTTGGTTTTAATTTAGATTAGAAAACCTGAAAGAAAACATGATGTGAAACCAAAGTACGCCTTTTCTGGCCAAAAAAAAAAAAAAAAACCAAAGTACGCCTTGAAGTCAAATGAAAATTGGATACATTATGACCTTTTCAATTTCACCAAAGAATGGCATTGCATAGAAATCCGATCCTTAATATAAGACTTCGTTTGACTTTTATTTTGGTCTTAAATATAGTATCCCAATCTACTTTGTCTATCATATTTATGCATTTTTTCTTAACATTGTCCTTCTAAAAATGGTAGTTCTAACTAGTACATTTAATTAATAAAGATATTATAGAAAAAAGAACACATATTCATTATAAATAATTAACTTAACTTATTTTCTTAATCTCTTCAAACTAATCAACTAGCTCTTATAATTATGACTGAAAATAGTATTTAGTAAGGTGTTGTAAATCAGACTAGTTATTGAATTGGTCAAGATAGTAATTTAAGAATTAGCAATTTAAACCAGAATCAACCTGAAGTCAAATTATCAAAGGAATGGCATTGTATGGATAGTGGCTGATTAAAATATTTTATGTATTTTACAGAAAAGGGTACGCATGCCTTCTAGTTTTGAATGTTTCATGTTCAGTGCACCACCGCCATAAAGAACTAGAAAGACAAACCATTGCTTTAATTTTAATGAATCAACAATGACCCCTTTTGGAAAAAGATTTATGTCACATTAACACCCGTTGCGAAGTCCTTTGGCTGCACAGTAAAAAATGTACTTTTGTAAACCAGACCAAGGCTTCTAAAGGTTACCAATTATTCGGCTCGCATGAACAACAGGATTTTGTGTTCCAATAAAGCCCATTCAAAATACATGGCATTTAAAAATACCCAAAGCACTTGATATATTATCTTAAAAAATATTAAATATATTGAGTATTTTAACAAATAAAATAGGAAAATTAATACGAGTGTTATTAGTTGGAAAAGACTGGGCACGATTTTGTTTTTCCACTAGGTATAATTTACAGGTATCTTTTAATTAGCAACAAATTCTATTCTATTTGAGATACTACTTCTCCCTGTTCGAGACACTACTTTTGGCTCGGTAAGGTTGTGAGAGATACTAACCTCTGTTGCTAGATTCAACGTCGGGGCATAATCAAAGATTGAACAAAAAGAATTGCACTGCAATACCTGGCGCGCAGAACCAGCATAGAAAAGAACCGCCAGCTGATTTTGGTCTCGGATATAATCCTCTCCCAAAACAAATTTTAAATTGTATTAACTCTTTATTAAAATATAATAACTTTCAAACTTTATTCCTATCCAATATATACTCCTTTCAAAGAAATAAATATCTACATTATAATAAATAAAAGACAATATGATACCATCATAGTAAAAATTTAATGACGTGACTTATAAATAAAACAAAAAAACCTTATCTTTCTATCCTATAAATAGGACCAGAAGAGTATATAAATATATATAATTATGCACGAAAATCTAATGTACTTATATTTTATAATGACACATTTTCACTTTTCTTTTTAATTCCAGGATTTTTTGATTTAGCTTAACTTTTTAAAATGATTATACATGTACCAACTACCAAGTAAATATGTGATAAAATCAGTTATAAAAGACTAAAAATTTTATCTCAAAGTATAAAAATGTTTTTTCTAGGAGCAGCGAAGCAAGCACCCCGTCTCTCTCATAAAGCACGCCACATCTAATGAGTTTTTAGAAACGGCTGATTATTACTTTTAGTTTTGCATTTTAACTAATGAAGACAGTGTTAAGATTATCAAAATCTCTAAATGCATGTTATGCCAAGAACAATTGTTTATGTTTGGTTGATATTTGTTATTGAGCTGGATTGCGAATCACAACTTTCTATACGATTTTACTTCATAAATAATTAAATCATATATAATTAGCAAGAAACAAAATCATGGTAAAATTTGCAGCTTTCAATATTCATCAAGGAATACCTAAAAATAAATTCTCATGTGAAAAGATCATACACCAGTTTTGTTATGAGTTTCAACCAACAGGCATTGTTAAATTAACAAAACTACTTGCAAAAGCTTCATCAGCTATTCTAGTTTCCCGATCAGAATAGAAATTGCATCATTCATCTTTTTGATGAAAATTGTTTCATATTCATCCAACATCATATGCTTGGTGCTAAAAAAATGGCACATCTTTGGGTCACCTATGGATTTTCCTAAAATGGAAACCTCTTGTTTATTTCATTGTGTTCTCATCATCTTACTTTTGGCACTTGATCGGTGCTTGAACTGGAAACTTAAAAGATTAGTGTACCAAAAAGACAGCAAATCCAAAACAACCCATACAAGAAACCAAATTATATTTCCTTGTCAAATTGAAAAAACAGTGTGAGAACAAAAGGATCACACTGCATCTACAGGTAGAAAACACCATAAATTCGTTAGTATAAGTCGTGAGAATGATAACAAAAAACAATAAGATAAAACCAGTTTTCGGTTCATCATTCTCCACTTCACATTCATCAATAACAAGTCCCAAATAATCCATGGTGCACTAGAAATATCTATTGATCTTTGAAGCAAAATTGAACAATCTGCAAGCATCATAGACAGGTTTAACAAAGTTAAAGATCCCAGACATATGGAATTTGAATTCATAATGGTTCTGCAACAGCAGCAGGAAAAAAAGACCATATTTTCCGAACATCTGATTCTTTTAAAATTTCCTTTCATGTAGGTACGCTATAAGTTCATTGATTTTAACCTCATCTTTCAACCAATAATGCATTAGGGTCCCTGTGACTTGTAAGCATAATTGGAATAGCATAAAATAATAGAGGAGCTGTAGGTTGAACTTCACAGGAGACTACTAATACTGTCGTCAGCCACCATTGAAAATGCAAGAAACTCAAATTCACATCATTTATGCCCACTTTCTATGATATAAAACCATCAAAAGATCAATAAGACAGCATGCCTAAAATAATTAACCCGTCACAGGCAATCAAATTATACATGCCTCAGAAAACAGAACGATTAGTTGTTATAGATAGGTCAGATGAAGTCTATATATTTGATAACTCTCGATAACATAAAGGACAAACAAGAATTAGAATTATAGATACGGTTATAAAGTACAAACTACTATGGGCTTATTTCTACCAGAAGTGTTCCAACTAAGTAAATCTGCAATATGATAGTTAAGAGTTAAGATCAAGGCTCTTCAATGTCGTTGCTGCTCAGCGATACAAGGCTTTCACTAAAATTGAAAACACCACCAAACTGTTCACCGATAGTAACCGTCCTATATTCAGCAGAAATAGGATCGAACAGATATAGAGTATTTTTTGGCCCACCAGTCCAAGCTTGACAACGACAGACTATTTGATTCCTCCAAGCAATCGCCGGCTGGAACAAGCCATCAAAAGACCTAAACGACACATAGTATATTTCTTAGTCCAATTGCACTTTTCCCTTGATAAACCACCTGCATACTCCTCCATCACCCACAGCTCAAAAGCATAACGCACACAAGGAAAAGAGAGAGAAAGGATAGCAAGTTTGTGCTCAAAGACAGCAAGCGCAGAACGTCTGTAATTAGAGTCTAAAGGAGGCATGGGTATCAATATAAAGACTTCCATTGCTAGATCAAATGAAATTATCATGTCAGGAACTTCCGCAAGCCAATACATAACTCCATTGGCAGTGACAGCAACATCTTGAAAGCCATAAGCATCGCTCACGCCTGGTAAACTTTCAAATCCTACTTTCTTCCATGACCCCGAACATAATGAATACACTTCCACCCCATTAACCTTCCTAGACTCGTTAAGTTGAATTCTCGCTATTTTGTAATCATAAACGATTGGACTGAACCCAAATCCCCAGAGACAAAAGCAACCACCCTTAAATTTGTTAATGGATCCGACCACCTCTCTGATCTCTCTAGTAGCAAGATCAACAGAACTAATAAATAAAAATCAATGACAGTATGAGCCATTTATCACTTCTTGACGGCTTTCCTCACATATTACTGTGCATTTATTGTGAGGGTTACGCGTGCATGCTATTCCCTGGTCACCATACCCATTCATTAATTGCGTACTATATAAATGCGTGTGCAGGGTTGTTTTTAGTCACACTGTTCAGTGGGGTTCTTTGGTCCGATATAAATTTGGGAGTGGTGATTGGGGACGGGTACTTTTTCAGAAGCATTCATTGGTCACTTAGAAGTTTAGAAGGGGAAAGGTCCATTGTTGTGCCTGTATTCCTTCCGTAGCTATCCGAAGGTGCTGGTTTCGCCGGACATGATTGTGTATGATGCGGAGGTATGCGTTAGTAGGTCGTTTTTGTGTTTATTTGAGGGTCTTCTTATTCAGTTTTGCGCTAATGTTCGTATCCTGTTCTACAAAGTTTTTCCTTCCCACTATCTAAAGGGTATTTTTTTTCTATGAGGATATTGGTATGTCTTGATGGTGATGACAAGATCGAACGGCTTGGGAATGAGCTGAGGAAGGAGAAGATATGTTACATTAAGAATTTTGAGGTTCGAGACGGTGGGGGAGGGATTCACAGCAAATATCACATGGTGCTGAGGCCAAACACATCTGTTGAGCGACAGATGCAGCTGCTGCCTAGTCGTTCCTTGAAGCTCAGCACCATTGAGAGCATTCAGATAGAGATTTGCCCTGAGTGCAGGGTCAGAGGTTGGTCCGGTGTGTAAATTCATGTCATCTGTTCTGGGATTATTTTTGGTTGTTTAAATATATGTGAATGCGAAGTTTCTTGCTTGAAATGCTTCTCAGATATTGCCGTGATCTTGATCTATTTTGAGGAGCTGAGAATCACAAAGCACAGGGGGGCACACACTTATGTTCTGGAGTTTGTTCTGCATGATGCGGAGTAAGTTTTTTTCTTTTGCTGAAACTGAAGTTTTGTAATGGTTATAGTTAGTACAAAGACATTAGTGTGGAGTAGTAAATTACTTATAGGCGTCATTGTAGGAAGTATGGAATTGAGTAGGAGATTTATGGTGAGCTGGCTAAGGATGCATGGAAGGATTTTCAAGGCGTTAGAGGACTGGATAGGCTCACCTGTATTGTGCAGTATGCAATTGTGAAGAGAGTAGAAGGTAATGATTAAGTTAATTTGTACTGGAAACAATTAAATTAGATTATGTAGTAATGAACGATGACTGACTTGGATGATTTAGGCACTAGGAGGTCACAGGGCTCAGGGCACGGGCTAGGGTCTCAGAGGTGGAGAATTGGACGATGTTTAGTTTCTTCAAGCCTGTTAAGTTAGTACTAGAACACAATACATGGAGGTTACTTTCTGATTAGCAGTTCGACGTTTAGTCTTTTCACATAGGCTAGGAGATATGAAGGAGCTGCCAGAAGAAGTAAGGTAGGTCTGATTTTAGATTTTGGCAAGGTCGTCGACCAGCCAAGTGACAGATCCTTGGGTTAATGAAATGATAACTAGCCATCATTTTGTGGTGGGGCTCGAAAAAGATTATTAGTTCTTAAGACATCAAGGATCCTAAAGGCAGGAAGGTTGGCGAGCGGTAGGACTGAGATGAACTTGATCTAATTAGGTAGATCAGAATTTGACAGAAGTATTATTTGTGTAAATATGAGGAATTGGAGCGGCAATTTGCGTGGATTGTGTGATGGAGGGAACCAATGTATAATTTTAGCATCAGAGGCAAGGTTCCAAGAGATAAGTATAGAGGTCAAAGGGTAACCAATCGTTCATATTGGCTTGTGTGAGCTTACAGGAAGGCAATGGCAGAGAAGTGTCACGGTTAGAAAGTTTGGATGGGGACTAATTTTGTGTTATGGGGCGCTTGAGGTAAGTCAGATCCTTTATTGGTCAATCACAGAAGGAAGGCGTGGGTGCAAAAGACCACATGTCATAAACGGTGAGAATAATCCAACATAATTTAAAGAGGAAGTCAGAAATGATCTGTAAAGTTTTAAAATCAATAATTGTTAATTTTCTCCATATATTCAAATGTGTCATGAGTTAATGGAAGAAGACTAACTTTGAAAACTGATAGGTATTAAATCCACATGCAACATCGAACTAGTGATTATCAAGGGAAAGGATAAATTCTAAACAGGGCTTTAGCATCTTATTAAAAAAAGAAAATTCAAAGGGATGGGCATTAGATTTGTAAACAAAAGAGCCGTGTGGTTAGAGGAATTATGGGTGTGAAAAAGCATGCATTGTTGTCATGTGCTGGTGAGGAAATTCAGTCTCGGGATTGACATAGTTGTGAAAGATTACAGGAATTTAGCTGTGAAAATCTTTTCCCAGATGGAGAGGGCATGAGGTTAGGAGTTTGTATATGATAGTGAGGTGAAGGCCACACTCGGACATCATGTGCTGGTAGTTGACTTGAATGATTTTTCTCTCTTTTTTTGAATTGAAAAGTGTGCAGGGCCTTTTCCTGCTGCAAGTGATCATGGCAATACTGTCAGAGATCTTTTTCGGTTTTGTGCTCTTATGTCAAGGTGGTTTGCAAGTCATCTCTTTTGCCTCGAAGTGCTCACTGCCGATAAGTTTTTCGGAATGTTGGTGCATCATGTTGATTGTCTTCATGTATATTGTACATGTTGAATATGAAGGTTCAATTAAGATAGACTTGTGATTGTAAATTGAGGTAGCATTATGCTGTTAGAAAATAAACTTTGTATCATATGCAGTAATTGCTCCCCGTGCATCGCACGGAAGAGCAAATGCTAGTTACGCAATAAAAAGGAATGAAGAGGCTTAACACCATGAAGCAAATGAAAACAGAGTAAGCCATTACTGAAACCAATGATGTAAGCCGAACCGGAAACATGTGCTTCTTCAATTTCAAAGATTCGCATGTCGCAATCGAGCAAATATAAAGGCAAGGGATTCGCACGGTGATACCCGGGCCATAGAATAAAAGGGCTTTGATCACCGGAGTATTGGTGGTGGGCTGCGATGAAAGAAGGGCTTTTGATGAGATTTTTCCAAAGCTTGCAGACACATTGGAATCGTAAAAGGCATCTTACAGGAAGTCGTTTGAGAATGTTGGCGATGATTTCTTAGGGAAGAAATGGATTGTCGCCGACCATCACTGCGGAGTGCGGAGGAAATTTTTTTGACCCGAACTGCGGAGAAGAATGAGGTTGCACAACTGAAACAAAAGCCCTCGTAAATCCTAATGGAGTATCGATTGTAGTCTTGCGTCGCGCTTTTTTTTTTTAATTAAAAAAATATACTAGTATATCGTATGCTTATAAATAGATATATGCACTCAATTCATTTCTGGCTTTTCTGTGTTTTTTATATAAAGAAAAAAAAATCAAACTATAATTTTATGATATATGATGAAAATAAATATGTGAGAATATTTTTATCTTGATTTATATAAAAAATATTTTTAAAAAAGTAATTTTGAAAGTATTTAAACACATCTTTTATTTAAGTAAGATACATAGGCTACGCGTAGTTAATTGAGCCGGTTACAAGATGAAAGAGCATTCCTATTGCATAATACAAGGGCCCATTAGATAGTATAAAAGACAAAAACAAAAGGCAGAGACAAAGCACGTGGGGACCAGATGGGCTAACCAGCTGATCCATGCAAGTGTCGTACGTCATACTATTTCTGGTTTTTAATATAAAATATTATTTGATTTTTATTTTAATTTTAAATATAAGGTTCTAATTCATTTTATTTTTTATATTTATATACTTTTTCTTAAGATAGTCATTCTAACAATAATAGTACTAGTCAATACACTTGATTAGTAAGAATATTTTAGGAAAGACAATATTTATTTATTATAAATAACTAACTTAATTTTTTTCTTAATCTCTTCAAATTAGTCAATTAATTCTTATAATTAGAACAGGAGAAAGTAACTCCCATAAGAACTCGAAATCTTTGATTACCGCCCGCAGGAGATTATTTTTATATTTGGCCCAATATAATATGAAAGTTTTAGGTAAAAACTGAAAGGGGTGAGACCCCAGCAATTTATTTCCATTCCTAGTCACTTTTCTTTATATTCAAAATTTTAAAATAGTTATAGATGAAAGTTATGTAGATTTGTTTATTTTTGTTAGACGCATATTTATAATCAAATTTTACCATATGAATTTTTTTTTTTTCATAGCAAAACTTTGTATGAATAAGATTTTAAAATTTTGTCAATCTATAATTGATAATAAAGATCACATATTACGTTGGAAAAAGAAAGGTCACGTTATAAAATTTGATTATAATTATATGATTATAGAGGATTAGTTGAGAAAAATTGTCAACATATTTTCAAATATAATTGACCATGTAGATCTTATAAAAAAAATTTCATCATGTAAATCTAGTTTTCATAAAATGCCCTCTCCATTATAATTATAATTGCTCAAAATTCTCAATTTTTGAAAATAATATAGAATGTTGAGTGATTTGAAATTTGTTCTAATTTTAAAACCCAACTCTACAAATTTGCTTGCCATCATTTTTTTTAACGGTTGCTTTTGAATAAATCTTATTTTCATTTATTTTGTTTTCAATTCTAAAATAGCATTAAATTATTATTTGTAAATTATACATTAATTTGTCTTATATTTTAATTATTAAAACAAATTAAGAGTATATTTTAAATTTAAAAATTGAAAGAAATTCTAAAATATTAATTTTATCTTTAACTCTACATGCTTGAGTAAATACTTAAAGTGTGTGGGATTGCAAACGGGATGGATGGTGGCGCGTACCAAGAATTCATAGACCTCCCCAGCATGTGTTTCCTGTCAAAACCTAAGCGGAAAGGCATTCTCACGGTTGCTCAGTAAGCGAGGGCCCGGCTAGGTTGACCTCACGTGCTCGTCGATGTTAATCTATATGTTGAAACATTAAACACAGGAAAAAAAAAGTATATATAGATGAAAGAAAATAGTCAAGCTTCAGAAAAAGTGAATAGGTTATGTTACCAAGTATAATTTACCTTTTTACAAACAATATGAATAAGTCAACCAGATGCATTTTGAGTAAACTGAGAACTACTCTCCAATGTTTCTCATTTTTTATCGGCACAAAAACTTTTATATGGTTAAAGATATAATTAGCACTTAAAACCTTTTAGTACTAATCATCCTATTCGTATCAGTAGTGACATTGTGCATATGTAAAATCATTCATGATGCTCCTCCATTTTCAATATCACGAATTTTTTT